GTGACAAGACAAGGGGTAATGGTTTTAAACTAAACCAGGGTAGGTTTAGACTAGATATAAGGAAGAAGTTCTTTACAATGAGGGTGGTGAAACACTGGAACAGGTTGCCCAGAGAGGGGGTGGAGGCCCCATCCCTGGGAACATTCAAGGCCAGGTTGGATGGGGCTCTGAGCAACCTGATCTGGTTAAAGGTGTCCCTGCTCCTGCAGGGGGGTTGGACTAGATGACCTCTAGGGGTCCCTTCCAACCCAAAACCTTCTATGATTCTATGATACTCAAGCTGTGCTTCAAATCATTCAGTACTCCAATCCAATGCATCAGCAATGGAAACATCTACTTTTTTTTTTTTGCAAAAATTTTACAAAAAACCAAAAAGGCCTGCATACCTTCCATGTTTGATCTGTTCCACATATATACTGTCCAGTTTCCATGAAAGACGGGTATATGAAAATAACCAACCCGGACTGTACCCTTGTCACCTCTGAATTACACTAAAATTATTATAAAGAAACATTTTATAACAGATCTACCTACTTTAGGATTTAAAGACAAGCATGACCCCACTCTGCCTCAGGCCAACGTTACCATGGCTCATTGGGTTCACTCCATAAACCAGAGGACAGCTTCGCCGCAGAGAGAGAGGCGATACAAGTGCCAGAGGGATGAGGAAAAAAGCATTTCACGGACAAACAGTAACTTTGGTATCGGAACGGGATGAAGCTGAGTTTTGAGATACTCCCACGGTACACAGATACGGAGCGAGTTATGAAAGAGAGCGCTCGACTGAGAAATTCAGCATTTATTTACAAGTTTTCACTAAAAAAAAAAAGGAAATAACATACAACTCTCCTCCTGGATATACTCTACTCTGCCAAACACTGCAACTGAAGATCATCAAGTTCATTTACACATTTTACAGATTTATCTTTGTGTACAACAGCGTATGCTTTAATCTTCAAGACGTCGGAAGAAGAGATGATAACCTAAGCTGTTTTATCATAATGAAACGGCCAGACTTCCTTTGGCCTTCCCCACTTTGAAAAAAATAAGCTAAAACACTTTAGCAGAGGAACAGACAGAGGATTGCTAACTTTTCTAAAAAGGTACAGGAGAATCAGTCGTCTTCAGTTCAGTCTTGCTGTAGAACATCGGGCCTAACCCAGCAGTCTTAATTGAGACAAGATCTGTACCGCCGCACTTAGCCACGCTCTCCACGACAGAACTGCAAGATCATCCCCGTAGCTTCAGTCTCAGGAAGCTGTTAAGTTTAACAAAGGAAGATGGAGGGCAGGGGAAGAAGCAGCAGTAAGAGGCAGAGGCTGCGAATTCCTAAGAAGCGAGGCTGCAAATTCATAAGAGGTGAGGCTGCAAATTTTCTCTGCTTTTTTTACCACAGAGTTGCATTCGAAGAGGGCACAACATTCCCCTCCCACACTTCCCAAGCGGCTCAGAGTACAAATGGTTCCCCACTTCCAACACACTAATCACCACGCAGAAGTTTAACACACATTTTAAAAAGCATAATAATCCTTGACAGAACAAATGCTAATCACTAATATCACCCGCTAGTCTAAATTAACACAGAGTTACCCAGCTTTAGGTACAGCTTTTTTAGATTTTGCATAGCAATTGCACCCATTTTCGACTTATTTCACCATCAGCACAAAATATTATTGATGTTAAAAGACTACCAAGAGAAAAAAAAAAAATAAAAAAATCCTGCGCTCAATCAAACCAGGAACATTCGGCTTCCAGTGCGAACTGAATCAGGACTTTACCCAGTTAGTTTCCGTCTTCTGAGGGAGACAAAAAAAAAAAATATAGCCCAAAAATATCACAACTGTACATCAGTAATTGGTAACGTGTTTGTAAAGCCTAATTTGTGTCCTCTTAAATAGTACTGGGGTAGCCCCTAAAATAAAACACGCTGCTGTTTTTCGTAATTCAAAAATAAATTGGGAAGCGTACTGAAGGAAATTCATCCCTGAGTAATGAGACGCTTAAAAACCGCATCCTGTCGACAATCGCTGCGGTACGTGATGACGCACACTCTAACAGTCGACGCTATTAACAGGCAGCAAGAGAACTTGTCATAGTCCAAGATATTTGCAGCGCTGTTGCATTGATCCCATGATCTCGTTTAATGAAACTTGCAAGTGAACATTAGGAAATAGGATAAATAGAAATAGTGTCTTTATTATTGTAAGCTGAACGTCAAATTGACAGCTAAACCGTGCTGGATCCCAGAAAACTCAAGAGCGGTGACGGTTAGCAACCTGCTTCTTTGGATGTCCGACACATATTGCAACCGGTATCTTCAACCAAACAGGAGGAGGAGAACGATTGTCACGGAGTTCACCGCTATTAATGGCACTGGACAGAGAGGGGGGGGAAAAAAAAAAAAAGCAATTGTGAAAATTTCCTTCTGCGCATCACAAAGTGACAGAACGTCTTCTTGTCGTGGGAGACTACCTTCTAAGGAGCAAAAGCAATCAAAATTTCAGAAAGACACTGACATTTCTTATGCAAAAATCAGGATTAGTGGAAGCAGATCACGTCAAAGCCTAGGATAATAAAAATTAGGAAGCAACAGCCTAAATATTTTTATATGGCCCATCATGTTATAACTTTGACCCAAACAATCCTTTCTCCAAATGAAACAAAACCACCTCCAAGTCGGTTTCTGTCCTTGGCTTTGCTGTGATTTAGGAGAAATGTGGCGGGCAAGGCAGATAGAATTCGTTACTTCCTCTTTATCATCGCCTATAAAAGCAATGGAGCACAAGTCT